TGGGGGCCAAATAATACAATACACAAGATCCAGCGCACTCACCTATCCACTAAACAGCAACTTCAATGTTGAAAGATTTTTTTTTTTTTTTTTTTTTAAAACACCTAATCTAGGCAAAAATAATGGGGGTTTGTTACATTATATGATTGTTGTGGAAATAAGGTCTACACATATTTCCTAGTTAGAGGAAAATGTCTATTTACTCATTTTGCAATATATATATATATATCTCACATATAAAGCTAAGTACACATATTTCAATCAAGATGGCTGCTAGAAGCTTCTAACCCCTCCTTCCCCTCCCCTCCCTTTTTGAACATCGACTAACTACCTCGTGTAACAAGATGGCGCCGGAAAACCGTGGGAGACCCTCATGGTCCCGGTGACATCACCTGCAGTAGGCAGAGCATTAGAGCAACCACTTAACACCTAACCAATTATTGATGTAATATTCCATGTTATCTCTGACAATGCATATGATGTAATTTTGCTTTAAAAGGGACTTGCCGTCCCCTCTGAATAAACTTTCCTCAAGTTATTCAACAACCTAGAACCTGTGTCTGGTGTGAATTACTTCAGGGAGCGTGCACGCATTGTTTCATTGATTTGGCCAGGGGCAGATACACAAAGAAATAATCAATCCTTTTATAGATTTTTCCACTTCAATTGGCGCCCAACGTGGGGCCCACCGGAGAGCCGGTTTGGAGGGCCGGAACCAACGGACCGGAGCGGACCTCCGGAAAGTGGGACAAGCAGAGCCTGATCACCTCCATAATACAGCCGTTGCCTGTGTTATTCTCCTGTTTTGTGCCGGTCTGTCTCCGAGTCCACTTCCGGCTTCCAGAAGGCTACTAGAGACAGGTAACTAACTCATCCGGTGCGCCCTTTTTAAGTGAACCTGTCGATTGTCTATCTGCCTCCTGTATTCATTTATGTGTGTGTGTTTATTATACCTTTAAGACATGTTTGCTTGACTGCCTAGCGGGCAGGGAACGCGGTTTATGTTTGCTTGACTGCCTAGCGGGCAGGGAACGCATTACAGCCGGTGGGGCTGGGTATTTATGTCTGCTTGACTGCCTAGCGGGCAGGGAACGCATTTTATATGTTTGCTTGACTGCCTAGCGGGCAGGGAACGCATTACAGCCGGTGGGGCTGGGTATTTATGTCTGCTTGACTGCCTAGCGGGCAGGGAACGCATTTTATATGTTTGCTTGACTGCCTAGCGGGCAGGGAACGCATTTTATATGTTTGCTTGACTGCCTAGCGGGCAGGGAACGCAATTTATGTCTGCTTGACTGCCTAGCGGGCAGGGAACGCGATTTATGTTTGCTTGACTGCCTAGCGGGCAGGGAACGCATTACAGCCGGTGGGGCTGGGTTTTTATGTTAGCTTGACTGCCTAGCGGGCAGGGAACGCATTACAGCCGGTGGGGCTGGGTTTTATATGTTAGCTTGACTGCCTAGCGGGCAGGGAACGCACTGCAGCCGGTGGGGCTGAGATTTTTGTCTGATTATTGTAGTATTTCCGTTGGTACCAGTGTTTTGCCGGGACCAGCCTGGTGGGTGAAGGCTGGAGATCGTTATATTCTGAATATCTGACACCGGTGGTGTTAACATGTACATGGCCATTTTGCTCTCTATCATTCTGTGGTTTCTGTTTAATTGTTGTTACAGTGTGGGTACCCTTGGTGTGTGTGTGTGTATTGTGTGGTTAGTTCTGGATTCCGGAGTTTACGCTCATTTGTATGTTTGTGATTTTTGCAAATGTCTTCTCATTAGCGCAGCCACGTTCATTTTCTCCTTTGTTCTTTATCTCTCCTGTGCCTGTTGCCCAGAGCTGTGTTAGTCACCCACGCTCATTCGCTCCCGTCCGTGACCACCACCCCGGGTGGGCGGATCTCCGTGACTAGTCTACGTTTGGGGAAGACGCACGGGGCTCAAGTTCTCGTGGCAGTCGAGCACTGTAGACATTCTTTTTCCCCCTACACTTACTATACTTCTTTGTCTTCCACGTGTGGCACGCTTTGGTTACTCAAATATGGGACAGGAACACGCTAGACCTGCTAAGGGCTTGCTAGCTTGTGACATTGTGAAAGAAAGGGCAGGTGAAGATGCAATGCTAAAACTTAAAAAGATTGCTAAGGTGTGTGGTTTCCAGATGTTGCCCAGCGGGAGATTACAACCTGAGTTTTGGAGGAAGTTACTTATAGACAAGGAAGGGTTGTTGTTGGATAATGGACTTACGAAAGTTGCAGAGGCTTGGTACCGGGTGGCTAGAGGTTTGAAACGGGAAGGATGGGTCGAGGAAGAACTGGAGTTTGAGGGGCAAATTGTGTATGTTTATCACAGGAGTGTTCATAATGATGATGTTGTTTCTATTGTTCCACGACCACCGCCCTATGATGGCGCCCGGAGCGCAACACTTAATTCCCGCCCTGCTTCTCCCGTCACGACACAGACCCCACCCTCGGGGGGTGTGTCTTCAGCTCCCACTCCCCTGTGCCCCGTACTCGGTGCGGATGGTGCTTACTATTATCCAGTGCCACTTCACTCGTTCCCTCCTACTCCCATGCCTCAACCTTCCTATGACCCAACCCCCTCCGTTAGCCATCCTTCTGTCATGCCTGCCGAAGCCCCTCCGCCTTCATGTCCTTCGCTACCTCTCCCAGTGACCGTCCCCACTCCAGACCTTACCATGGCTTCCCTCATCTCACCCATTGAAGTCCCACCTTCCTCCTCCGCTTCCCTCTCAACCCCGAGTACCCCTTCCTTAGTAGCTTCCGTTCCCTCACCCTCTCCTTCTATCACACATCCAACTCCCCTACCCCATACCCTTTCCACCGGCCCCATTCCTCCGGATCTCTGTCTTCCCGCTGACCCAGGACCCCTCCCTCCCACGGCCGATTTGCCATCCCTAATCTCTGCCCTCACCGCCCTGACCCAGCCCCCTGTTACCACCTCTCCTCCAGTGTTACCTCCTCCTCCCGAAGTCCCAGCCCCCTCTACCTCGTTATCCCTCCCTCCCACGGCCGATTTGCCGTCCCTAATCTCTGCCCTCACCGCCCTGACCCAGCCCCCTGTTACCACCTCTCCTCCAGTGTTACCACCTCCTCCCGAAGTCCCAGCCCCCTCTACCTTGTTATCCCTCCCTCCCACGGCCGATTTGCCATCCCTAACCTCTGCCCTCACTGCCCTGACCCAGCCCCCTGTTACCACCTCTCCTCCAGTGTTACCACCTCCTCCCGAAGTCCCAGCCCCCTCTACCTCGTTATCCCTCCCTCCCGCGGCCGATTTGCCGTCCCTAATCTCTGCCCTCACCGCCCTGACCCAGCCCCCTGTTACCACCTCTCCTCCAGTGTTACCTCCTCCTCCCGAAGTCCCGGCCTCCTCTACCTCGTTATCCCTCCCTCCCGCGGCCGATTTGCCGACCACACCCTCCGCCTACGTTACTTTGCCACAGCCCCTTGTTCCTATCCCTCCAACCCCTTCCTCGGCGACCCTTGACGCACCTCCGTCCAATGACCTATCAACTTCAATCTCCGCCCTTTTCACTGCGGTCACTTCCCTGGTTAATTCCGCAATCCCCGCGTCGCCTCCCATCGATGTACCTCCTCCTCCTCCTCCCGAGCCTTTGACTCCTCCCTTGTCTCACGTTAATTTCCTCGAGTCTTCCGATCCAATCTCTGCCCTTGCCCATGTCCTGAATACCCACCTCTCACGGCCAGCCCCGCCGTCCCCCATGGTGGCTCCTTCCACGGCTTAGTTCCCCGTGCCCCTTCCGCCAGCACCAGCTACCCAATCATGGTGGTTGGGTCCGAGGTGTCTGCGACCTCGGACCAGCCCTATGCGATGGGTGCCTCCCCCCAAGCCTCGGGTTTCCACCCAATTACCTCTCCTATCACCCCCTTCCCAGTTGCCCCCGCTACAGCTACCCCTGAGGCTATTCTTCACCGTGGTACAATAGTGCCCGAGGAGGTCGTTATGGTGGACCAGAGCCAACCCCAACTGGGGGGGGAAAGGCTTCCCCAACGGCACTCACTTCCCCAGGGGTATACTCAGATCAACCATGGGGCGGATGGTGCACCACCTATGTACGTTACTTTTAACCCTTCCCAAGCCGCTACCCTTGTAACTTCACTCCCTGATCCTGAGAAGCACCCCATGCCCTTTTTCCGCAGGGTGGCTCAAATCCGTAAGACATATTCCGCTGCATGGCGGGACCTTATTAGTTTATGTGAAATTAAGGCCGGAGATGCATACTGGCCAATCATGGAACGGAGCTTTAGTGATGCTCCACTTACTTCTGATACTGATTTCCATTCTGGTGAAATTTTCTGTGAACAACTTCGTGCCTGGGCGCAGGATAAACTAGCTGACCAGGCTACTTGCATTAATGATATAATCCAAGACAAACTTGAGACCGTTGAAAAGTACCATTCTAGGTTGACTCAGACATTCTCGGACTTAGGGTTCAGTACTTACAACAAGGCACACACCCAGATGCTCTCTGCAGCTTTCGTGGCAGGACTGAGAGAACACATTCGCAAGGGGTTAATTTTAGCTCGCCCTGAGTATAGAATTATTCCACTAGACACTCTTTTGTTAGTAGCCAAGGGCCTAGAATCTGTTTTACAACCCACACAGCGCAGGGCTAGCCCACTGATGTACACCGCCCCCACACCTATCGCTAGTTCTAATCAGGTCCCCCAGGTATTCCCCCAACAGTACACTCAATCACCCCACGCACTGCCTGCACCAATCCCTTTCCCCCGGGACCGGACCATTATGACAATCCGGACCTGTTTTAATTGCAATCAGCCAGGCCACTTCAGAAGAGATTGCCCACAGCCTAGGGTGTTCCGCCAGCCAAGTCCCCGGTACCAAGGTCCCCATGTCACCGGCCATAACTACCCTTCCCCTGGTTACCTCCCCGCCCTTCCCCATCCACATTTGCCTCAGCTTCCTCCTCCTCCTCCTCCTCCTCCTCCTCCTCCCCCTCCTCCTCCTGAATACACTCAAACACGGCCCCCTGTATCAGAAGCTCGCACGTATACTTCACACTCTGCAGAAGGGTTTGATAATGATGATTTCCAAGACGGCCAACCCCGTCCTACCCTCCGCCCATCCCGCCCTCCCATGCATTCTGCTAACCCCCCTTCTACTTCCCGCCGGTACCAGGGACCAGACCAGACCCATTTAGATTTATTACAATAGGTAACCGGCAAGCCTGTGTCAGCAACCCCTGCCATGGCAGTGTCTGCGGGGGATGGGGGGGGCCCTCTAGCTACTGTTGTTCTCCCTGTGGAGGGCCACCCCACCACTTTCCTGGTTGACACAGGTGCAGCCCGTAGTGTCCTTAGGGAACAAGACCTGCCTGACCCCTCTTTCTTATCTGACACTGATGTTTCCTGTGTTGGGGTGGATGGTACCCCACGCAGCAACCCCCTTACTAAGCTCCTACATGTAGGTTCACACATCCTCTCACGCTTTGTGGTTTCCTCTACTTGCCCCATTAACCTCCTAGGTGCCGATGTTCTCTCTCGCCTCCAGGCCTCCATTACCTTCACTGCAGATGGGCAGATTGAGTTGACAACTCCCTTATCACAAAAAGATACCTCTGTCCTCTGTTCACTCCCTATTTTGTTAAACCTAACTGACAACTCAGGGGATGCACGGGTCCCACAAACCCCCAGTGCTCTGGACCGTATCCCACCTGATCTTTGGTCCACCGGCCCGGATGATATTGGACGTTTGCATGTGCCCCCGGTCTTGGTTCAGCTCCTGCCCGGGGCACAGCCTCCTCGCAGACCACAATACCCTCTAAAGCCTGCACAAGCTGAAGCCATTACCAGACAAGTTGAAAGTCTCCTTACCAAAGGTGCCCTCATCAAGTGTTCGTCTCCATGCAATACTCCACTTTTTCCTGTTAAAAAGAGAACTGTTAAAGGTCAACCTGACCAATATCGTATGGTACAAGATCTCCGTGCTGTGAATGATGTGACCATCAAAGACACTGCCATTGTTCCTAACCCCCACACCCTCTTATCCCAAGTCCCATCAACTTCAACAATATTCACTGTGGTGGATCTAGCTAATGCCTTCTTCAGTGTCCCCCTTGACCCTTCATGTCGTTTCCTCTTTGCCTTCACCCATGAAGGACAGCAATACACCTGGACTGTCATGCCTCAGGGGGCTCAGAATTCCCCCACACAATTTGCACACGCCATGTCACTGGTGTTGGAACCCTGGCAACAATCTCATTTGGATGTCGTCCTGCTTCAATATGTTGATGATCTCCTTCTCTGTGCTCCTGATTTACTCACTGCGGAGCGTGATTCAGAAGACCTCCTATGTTTTCTTGCTGCTGCTGGTTGCAAAGCCTCCAAATCCAAGTTACAATGGTGCCGGCCCTCTGTGGTCTTCTTGGGACACTGCCTTTCCCATGGCACCAAACATCTCACCTCCCAACGTGTACAAGCCATTCTGCTTCTTCCATTACCTGCTAACCACCAGGCTCTCCATGCTTTCCTGGGTCTAATCACGTACTGCAGGTCCTGGATACCCGAAGCATCAAAACTCATGCAGCCACTCTATGATGCCCTCAGGAGCGAACCTTTCCATCTCACAGAAGAAACTATCATCTGTTTCCGCACTCTGAAAAGAGCTATTGCTTCTGCACCTGCCTTGGGCCTACCAAACTACCAACTTCCCTTCAACCTTTTTGTCTCTGAAAAATCAGGACATGCTTCCGGAGTCCTCACCCAAAAACATGGCTCAAGACAACGCCCTATTGGCTATTTTTCCTGCATGCTTGACCCTGTTGCAAGGGGTAGCCCCTCTTGCCTCCGAGCGGTGTTCGCCGCCAGTGCTCTCCTGGACAAGACCAATGACTTTGTTCTTGGCCATCACCTGACAGTGTTGGCCCCTCACGATATTACTGCAATCTTACAGCAAATCCGCCCAAAACACCTTTCTTCACAACGCCACCTTCGCCTACAGACATCCTTACTCCTACCTGACAATGTGAAACTCCAGAGATGCCTTTCCCTGAACCCAGCCACTCTTCTGCCACTTCCCAAGGGGGGAATAGTGCATCACTGGTACAGCCTGGACATCAACCCAGAGGTCCGAGCAGATTTACAATTGCCTGTGTTTACACCTTCCCCTGATGATGAACAATCAGAGGCCCTACTCCACTGTGTCTTGTGGTTTAGGGACATACCAAACCCTGACGTGGACTATGAGGAAGAACTATTTCAGCTCAAAGACATCCAAATTACCTTGACTGACTTGTTTTGGGACTCCACAGGTACCATGCTCATTCTGGTACATCTTCCAGACAATGCAGTACACCTCTACCACCATTGGGAAACAGCTATCCCACACATACCTCTCACCAGATCCCACGACATCACATGGGAGACCCTAGGCCCGAAGGCCAAAACTTGGAACCAAATGACTCCAGAACAACTGACTTCTGCAGGAATAAATAAAAAGACAATTAACTACTACACAACAGGACACTCCAGGTACCACATAGAGGCCTGTGAGGACCCACCCACCATAGACTGCGACCTTATTGATATCCCTCACGACTGTTTTGAACAAATGAAAATGGAAACTACACACCTACCAACTGTTTATGAAGCTGCATTACTCAACCCGGATCAGACACTATTTGTGGATGGCTCAAGGTTTGCTGACGAACAAGGACAATACCACACTGGATATGCAGTTACCACAGGATGTCAAATATTACAAGCAGCTGCCCTACAACCAACTAAATCTGCCCAAGAGGCCGAGTTAATAGCCTTGACTGTGGCCTGCAAACTGTCCGAAGGCCTACGAGCCAACATTTATACGGACTCAAGATATGCCCTGGGAGTGGCACACGATTTTGGCTTAATCTGGAAGACCAGAGGATTCCTTACAGCTACCGGTACCCCAGTAAAGCATGGGGCAGCCATTGCAGAACTGATGGACGCATTGGAACTCCCAACAGAAGTGGCAGTATTGAAAGTAAAAGCTCATGGAAGATTAGACACAGAAGAAGCACGCGGCAATAACCTGGCTGATCAGGCAGCCAAAGAGGCAGCACGACAAGGATGGGAAGTGGACAGAAGAGTGGCCACAGACGCATTACCAATTTATACTATGCAAACATTGCCTACAGACCTCAGGCTGCTGAAGGAACAGCAAGCTGCTGCCACTCCTCAGGAGAAACAGAGTTGGAAGAACAAAGGAGCAATACTCCGTGATGAAGTTTACACTATTAATCTCAAGTTCTGTCTACCTAGAAGTATGTACCCAGCGGTGGTCCAATGGGCCCATGGGCCAGCCCACCTATCAAAGCTCCTGATGAATTCACTGATTGACAAGTATTTTGAAGCACCAGGCATCACTACCTTAACACAGAATTATTGCAAATCTTGTACTATATGTGCTAAGTGCAACCCTGGAAAGATCATAAAGACTGCACCTAATCATCTAGCCAAGCCACAATACCCCTTTCAGAGGATTCAGATTGACCATATTCAGATGCCAAAGAGCGGACGCCATGAATATGCACTGGTCATAGTGGACATGTTTTCAGGATGGCCAGAGGCCTTCCCAGTGACTAACCTCACCGCGAGGACAACAGCCAAGTATCTCTTGACAGAAATTGTTTGCCGTTACGGGGTTCCAGAAGTAATTGAGAGTGACCAAGGAACCTCCTTCACTGCCTCGCTAACACGGGAAGTCTGGTCAGCACTGGGGGTGACCCTTGCATTCCACACTCCATATCACCCACAGAGTAGTGGTAAGGTAGAGCGCATGAACGGCACTCTGAAAGCCAGAATGCTTAAAATGTCACAAGAAACTAACATGCCTTGGCCCGAGAGTCTCCCATTAGCATTGTTTAGTGTAAGGTACACTCCTAGGGGAAAATACAGCCTGTCACCTTATGAAATTTTGTTTGGCACAGCACCTAGGTTGGGTTGTTACTTTCCCCAACAACTTCAGATCCAGTCAGACGCTATGGTAGATTATGTGACAGCCCTCTCACATGCCTTGACCAAGATACATGCCCAAGTGTTTTCTTCTATTCCAGATCCTGAGTCGAACACAGGTACACACAAGCTGCTTCCAGGTGACTGGGTTATGGTTAAGAAGTTTCTCAGAAAACACACCCTAGAACCGAGATTTGATGGTCCTTACCAAGTGCTCCTGATTACAGCAACGTCAGTTAAACTAGCTGGGAAGAGTTCTTGGATACACGCTTCACATTGCAAAAAAGTGCCTGCTCCAGAAGAGCCTGATCCTGTTGAAAAATGAATTTATTATGTGTCTTGTGTTTTCTTATGCTGCTACATTTTGCATGGGCACAACAAGTGGCCATAACCAAAGATAACCATGTTTACACTTTTTGGTACAATTCTTCTAATACTGATGTGGCTACATACACCTTTGACTATTGTGACATAGTTACTTGTACATTTCCACAAACACAACATGCAGCTGTATATAAGGACATACCTAACAAAAAGGATCCATACATTTGTGTGACTGGCGGAGGTTGGGGACACCATTGTAGTTCATGGAAAGCTGCCGGGTGGAACACAGGTAGACCATGGGGCTACAGACCTCAAGTTGCATTAGACAAACTTGACAAAGACGGGAAACCCTTGCTCTCTAGAATGACCCTGAGTAAACCCATAGGGTCAACTCCCATTAAACTCACCTTAAACATAGAACACCCTAGTCCAAGGGATGCAGGGGAGTATGTGATGGGAATGTACTGGAAGGGAGGTGGCTCACATAACGCATTAGGGACCTTTTACTTGCAAGATATGCTAAATTCCTCTGATTGGGTGGGAACCACACATATGGTCATTAACCCATTGAAACCACACATCAAAACCCTACATGACATGGTAGCCATAGCTAACCCCACCTTTGAAGATACCATGGCAGTAGAAACAGGGTTTTCAGATACCAATTTATGGCTAGAATGGATGAGGTACAACGCCAACTCACACAATAAGACTAATTGTTATGTATGCGGAGGTGCCAGACCCCATCTAGGTACAGTACCTCTGAGTTTACCTCCGGAAATAGAATTATGTGTACTGAGTTTGTATGCACAATCCACCACTAACTCCTCAACATGTGAATCCTGGAAGAAGATTTACCCAATCACTCATGGACATGTGAAACCACCCGATGGGGTCACCATCTACCCAGGTAATTACACATGCTATTCAATACCAGAAAACACTGGTTTGTATCTGGGCAAATTCCCATCAGGATACTGCTCAACTTACCATAGTCCACCTGTATCACTGCTAATGAATCACACAAAGACAATCGGTGATATCTATTGGTTATGTGGTGACAAACAATTAAGGCCCCAATTAGCTGGGCAATGGTGGGGGGAGTGTGCCCTAACCAAAGTCATAATGCCTATCCACATCATTCCAGATGGTGACCATAACACGCTAAACCTCACACATATACACTCTAGAACCAAACGAGAGACCCCTATTCGAGGGAGTTTCGACCCCCATGTGTATATTGATGCCATAGGTGTGCCAAGGGGGGTGCCTAACGAATTTAAAGCAAGAGATGAAGTGGCTGCAGGGTTTGAGTCCCTAATCCCAATGATAACTGCTAACAAGAATGTCAATTGGATTAACTATATCTATTATAATCAGCAACGCTTTGTCAACTACACAAGGGATGCCCTACAGGGCCTGGCAGAGCAACTACAAGCCACTACCCAAATGACATTTCAGAACAGAATGGCCCTAGATATGATTCTAGCCGAAAAAGGGGGAGTATGTAAAATCCTCCCTGAGACCATGACATGCTGCACATACATTCCAGACAACACGGGGCCCAATGGTAAAGTGACTATGGCCATAGAAAAGCTAGATAGTCTTGCAGACGAATTAAAGAAGAATTCGGGAGTCACTGACATATGGGACAAATGGTTTGGGTGGATGAATGGCTGGCAAAAGACCCTCTTTCAGGTAGGGACAGCTGTTCTCATGGTATTCATTATCTTTTTGTTCTCAGCCTGTTGTATACTCCCCTGTATACAGAAATATCTGCAGAAAGCGGTAGATAAGACTGTAGATAATGTGACCCCTACCTTCATACATCAGGATATCACAGACCTTGAAGATGACACCCCACATACACCCCTACAAACACATCAGTTTAAACAGACAACTGCTTTTTTGTAAGGATAGAGTAGGGAAAGCGTCTGTCTTGACAGGTGAGTCTCACGTGTGGAGATGTAGTGGGTTAGCCACTGCGGGATACCCGCGGAGTGAAGTGCAGGCAACTAGGGACATATTAGGGACAGCAGCAGTTGTAATGGTAAATAGCCATTTTAGGGGGGACTGTTGTGGAAATAAGGTCTACACATATTTCCTAGTTAAAGGAAAATGTCTATTTACTCATTTTACAATATATATATATATATATCTCACATATAAAGCTAAGTACACATATTTCAATCAAGATGGCTGCTAGAAGCTTCTAACCCCTCCTTCCCCTCCCTTTTTAAACATCGACTAACTACCTCGTGTAACAAGATGGCGCCGGAAAACCGTGGGAGACCCTCATGGTCCCGGTGACATCACCTGCAGTAGGCAGAGCATTAGAGCAACCACTTAACACCTAACCAATTATTGATGAATTATTCCATGTTATCTCTGACAATGCATATGATGTAATTTTGCTTTAAAAGGGACCTGCCGTCCCCTCTGAATAAACTTTCCTCAAGTTATTCAACAACCTAGAACCTGTGTCTGGTGTGAATTACTTCAGGGAGCGTGCACGCATTGTTTCATTGATTTGGCCAGGGGCAGATACACAAAGAAATAATCAATACTTTAATTGATTTTTCCACTTCAGCCGCTATTTTTAACAATGCCTGGTTTAGAGACACTTGCCACTGGAGACTACAAATCTGCCCTCATTCCATACGACTTCAGCTTTGTTTGAAATATACCCCATAGTGGCGGCCGCCAAAGTCTGGGGGCACCTATGGGAAGGTAAAGCAGTAAAATGCTTTACAGATAACAAAGCTGCAAGTGACATCCTGAACAAAGGTAGATCCTCCTCCCTCATAATCATGAGGCTAGTCTCACGTGACTCGCAGCCACTTTACACTTCCACATCACATGCTTCCACATACCAGGACACACAAACATAGCAGCTGACACCCTGTCTCGCTCTCAATTTCAGAGATTATTCGAAGCCCACCCGTTGGCCGACAAAACACCAGCACCAACCCCCTCATTCCAAGACCTAATCCTGGACTGACCTGCATAATGGCGCACAGCAGGTTCCTGGCTAGCGCTGCCCTTTCAATCAACACCTCCAAGTCGTACAATAGAGCCTTTGCAGTCTATAGAAAATTTACATCCGAATATCAAGTTGCAGATGTACATTCTCTAGATTTCATAGTGTCATTTATATCCCTTTACCACCTTAACCTAAAACTCTCCCTAAACACCATAAAACTCTACATCACTGGTATACAACACCAAATATTAAGTGCCTATCCTAGTACCAAACCGTTCATGTCCTCTTACCCTCTGAAGAATATACTCAGAGGCATACAGCATCTACATAACCCCACTACAACTAAAAGACAACCAATAGATGGTCCCACATTCTGGGCACTATCCGACCTACTAGACACCAAACCATTCGAACCAAATACGAATCTCACCATCAAAACTGCAGTTTACCTGGCATTCTATGGGTTCTTACGACCCAACGAATTTACTGCTGACAACATCACATCCTGTAAAAGTTATCTGAAAGTTTCCGACCTAAACAAACATTCAGATCTTTATGTCCTCACCATCAGTCACACTAAAACCAACCAATCAGGACCACTTAAAGAGATAAATTACTATCCCACTGCCAACAAATGGTGGTAATACTAGACCAGTATGTAGCATCACTCATTAAAATCTAACAAGGCCCTATTCACAATACAGGGCAAACTACTCACCACAGACAAGTTCATTTCATATATCAGAACTCTCTTAACTAGGCTGGGACTTAACCCCAATGGCTTTACAGGACACTGCTCCGCCGCATCAAGACAAAACATCCCAGCTGACATCATTAAAAGATTAGGACACTGGAAGTCTGCTGTGTATTCAACATACATACCGCAACCAGAGTTAGAATTGAGACAAGCCTTTAAGAATCTTGCCATGTAAAGATGTATAATAAAGTGAATTGTATTCAACCTTTTTGCCCTCTTTTATTACAGGCCTACCCGATATTTCGGTTTCGGCACACCACAACTGACTTGCTCAGATATCTAACCTGTCATAAGTACGGCTTTTGTCCCCGACTACAAATTAGAAAGCGGAGCCTGAAGTTGTGGGAGGGGTTACCCAGCTATATAAGCACAGGCCCCCTACCCCACAGGCCGATGCCTCCGGGTTCATCACTCCCACCACTCCATACATACACAACTGACTTGCTCAGATATCTAACCTGTCATAAGTACGGCTTTTGTCCCTGACTACAAATATATATATCATATAAATATATATCGATAGATAGAAAGATAGAGATATATTTATCTGTAAAACCACAGAATACATATATACTATATGTATATATGTTAAACCATAACATTTAAACAGGGCGTACTTTCTTTTCCCCATGACTGTATATATACATATACATTAAAGACCTTTGGAAAATGAAGTAATCTAAAATTAGAAAGGAACGCTAATTTTAAAAATGATATATTTATTTTTTTATTAAAGTGTTCCTTTAATGTTCATAAAGCTAAAGTTTGACTTACAAACTCATTGATCGTCTTTTTCTAAGTATGCATCTTTAATGTGGAAACTGATTTGTATAGGAAACCTATAAAAAATCTATTGAAGCGGAGCCAATCCAATCCATTAAAATCATCCCTTACAAAATCAATTTAATGATCGGCTCCTAATCTGAATGTAAAGGGGGATTACAGTTAATACTGTATTCTAAATAAGCAAAACTGTACTATTTGAAAGTTACTATATATCTGAAATAGATTGTTCTTTACTAACAATGAAGGCTTATACTATGATACATTGGACAGTCATTAATGAATAAAGCAGTACTATAGAAACATCAAGGATGAATTAAAAATTAACTGGAGTACAAGTATTCTGTGGATTCTCTTTCAATAAGAATAATGCAATTAACAAACATGGGTAGTTTTTTTTTTATAGTATCTAAAATAAATAAAAAAATATCTTAAAATATGGAGTCAAGAATCAAAAAAACTACATATTTTAAAGTATTTCATATAGGTGGCACATTTTATCTGCAGAGTTAAGCTAAAATCAAATGAAAAGCAGACACAGGGAAACAATTACATTTGTTGCGCTTTATTTATTTTCATTTGTCACATCAGGGTTAGACAGTCTACAATCCTCTAGTTGTCATGTTTTTACAACTCGCATCACAACCAGCATACCAATGACTGATTGAAGGTACCATTGACAGACATTCTAAGTGCACCTGGAGGTTTGAACGGTACTTTAACCACAATCATAGAGGCGGTCACACTTTCATATTTTAGTTATTATAAACACAGAGAGTTCATGTGATAACCAAGATTCTATGTTGCATAATGTCCATCTGTAAATGACTATAACATCCTTGCCATGTGTTGCAGTCACATCCTCTCAGTGGTAGCTGACAGTGCAAATTGAGCAATTGCTTTGTACAGTATCATACACTAAGGGAGGTTGGCTATGTTGTCATAGTAACTTAAACAGAACAACGAAAACAACAATTGCTCCTGTTTGCTGTCTACTGAACCATCTCATTTGTGTCAGCTCTATTATCACAAGGTATCATCTCAGACTTTCAGTTTTGTATAACTATGTACGGAGATCAAAGTACAGGCATGAAAATCGATTCCTTTATAGTTAGAGAGTTCTGTTCTGGTGAGATTTATATTTTCGGATATCTGGACATTCTGTAAAAGAAAAAAAGAATACTGGTAATTAGTAGACCTATGAAAAGATTTTGTTCATCTGAATAGATTCCTCCGAATTTAGATTGTCAGGCGATTTAGATTTCGTCCATGTGGCATTTTGCTTTGGATGAATTTAGTCCATTTAATTGTTCAGGGAAAAACCATTTGGTCAAACCAACAAAGCAAGAATATGGGTCAATCATAAATATTATGTATTTATCTTACAGTATTCTGAAAGGCCCATTTTCATGTCGTTTGGTTTAGAGATCAAACAATAATAACGGACAACTATAGGGGGGAAAATCCACATTTATATATGTATATATGAAATATTATATATTTATTAAATTCATAATATATAAAACAAGACTTTCTTTTTTTTACTGCTCCTCCGTTTTTCCCCACCATTGGTCACTTGATTGGTCTCAAGTCAACATTTAGTGACTCTACAGTAACCATTAATCATCTTTTTTTTTGAGCCATGCCACATACAGAATCATGAACCAAATAAAACAGTTTCTTGCATTGACTGTTTCCTTTGCTTTGTAATTGTTATTTTATTATTTATATAGCACCAGCAAATCCCGTAGCACTGTACAATGGGTGGACTAACAGACTCAATGAGTTTACATGCTAGAGGGAGTGGGGTATAGTGATAAAAAGGGTATAAGTAGGGGTAATTAAATAGGTTTATAGAAAAGTACTCACTGAGAACTTAGGTTATTTTTGACAGTTGCAGGAGAGGAGTCATGGAGGGGGGAATGAAAAACTGCTAACAGTTTAAATTATATACTTTCCTGAAATAGTGTGTTTTCAAGAATTTTTTGAAGGAGTGGAGACTGGGTGAAAGTCTAATGGAGAAGGGAAGGGAGTTCCACAGAAGAGGTGCAGCCCTGGAGAAGTCTTTGAGTCGAGCATCAGATGTAGGAGTACGGACAGAGGATAGACGTAGGTCTTCAGCAGAGCGCAGGGGTCTCGACGGGACATACTTGTGTATTAGGGAGGATAGGTAGGTTGGAGCAGCGTTATGCAGGGACTTGTAAGCAAGCACCATAATCTTAAATTGAGCCTTATATTTAACTGGAAGCCAATTTGGGACTGACAGAGGGGTGAGGCGTGGGACGTGCAGGCGAACAGGAAAATGAGCCTTACCACTGCATTCATTATAGATTACAGCGGTGCAATCTGG